TTCAGAACAATTTCGATCAATCGTATACTGAACACAATGTGATTATAGAGACTCCTCTAATCAACGTTTCGCTGGGGATAGCGTCAAGTCTGATAGCAACTTTTTTTTATTCAAAACATTTTGGCAAGGATGATATGTATAAAGTATGTTTCGCCTATGTAAGTAGTTCTGAAAAGAACTGTTGTTGTTGAGAATGTCTCAACGTTAAATAATAGTGATAATAACTTACATGATCTCACGAGTGTTCTAAAAAATGCTTAGTTAACTGATAAGTTGACTGATGATGCATAGCGGGTTTTTCAAATTGGTGACGCATAGCGGGGTTTTCTATTGACAGGCCCAGTCACGTTGAAGTCTGACGAATAATGGCGTATAATGAAAAGATCGAAACATGCGCTGGTACGTATGACGTCTGAGTGAAATCAATTATTTAAAAGGAGGATGGGTAAGTCACTCTTTTTTTTTCTCGTGTTAACAATCATTGATTAATAAATTCCAACTGCAATTTTCTTTCTCTCTCTATATTTTATATATAATATTTATTTATTTTATTTAGACCTATTTATCTATTTATTTATATATTTATATATTTATTTATTTTACAATAAGATTACAGAGACTCCTCTAATCAACGTTTCACTGGGGATATCGTTAAGTCTTATAGCAACTTTTTTCTATTTAAAACCTTTTGTCAAGGATGATATGTGTGGAGTACCGGTATGTCTCGCATATCTAAATAGTTCTGAAAAGAAGTGTTGTTTTTGATAATGTCTCAACGTTAAATAATAGTGATAATAACTTATCTTTGATGATCTCTCGAGTGTTCCAAAAAAGATAAGTTGATTGATAAGTTGATTGATGACGCATATCAGGTTTTTTAAACTGGTGACGATATTGAGACGTTTTTTTTAAAAGACGTTTTAACAGAGATGTTTAGCGATAATATCATAAACTGGGGCCGTGTAGTTATGGTTTTTGTGTTTGGAGCAAAGTTAGCTGTGTTATGTAAAGATAGAAACAGAACTGGTTTAAATTTGATTGATCAAGTAATACAGAGCGTAGACAAATTCGTGGAGACGGAATTTTTAGAATGGATGATTTTGAGAGGAGGAGGGGTAAGGGTTTTTTTTTCGTGTTAACAATCATTGATTAATCGATTCAAACTTCAATTTGTTTCTCTTTGTATATTTTATATATAATATTTATTTATTTTATTTAGGCCTATTTACTTATTTATTTATTTTCAGAACAATTTCGATCAATCGTATACTGAACACAGTAGGATTACAGAGACTCCTCTAATCAACGTTTCGCTGGGGATAGCATCAAGTCTTGTAGCAACTTTTTTTTTCTATTCAAAACATTTTGTCAAGGATGACATGTGTGAAATATATGTATGTCTCGCCTATCTCAGTAGTTCTGAAAAGAATTGTTGTTGTTGAGAATGTCTCAACGTTAAAAAATAGTGATAATAACTTACATTTTGATGATCTCACAAGTGTCCCAAAAAAGATAAGTTGCTTGATAAGTTGACTGATGACGCATAGCAGGTTTTTTTAAACTGATGACACATAGCGGGGTTTTCTAATGACAGGCGCAGACACGTTGAAGTCTGACGAATAATGACGTATAATGAAAAGATCGAAACATGCGCTGGTACGTATGACGTCTGATTGAAATCAACCAATGAGCGAAGCGCATTAACATTACGTCTGATGAGTAGCGAAAAGCCGATAGATATGCGGGCACATGATGTCATGAGTGAAATTAACCATTGAACGATATGTTAAACTTTTTAAATGCGGGGGTATTTTTAATCATAGTAGTAAAAATGATATATAAAATAATGGTAGTAAATAAAAATTATAATAGTGAAAATATATTCCGTATTACACCTAGAATGGAAAATATATTCCGAGCTAAAAAGGGATTAACCTTAAAATTGATCAGTGGTAT